CTCTGTTGCTATTGAGACCTGCTGACTGAAAAAAAAAAAAAAAGATGGGGGAAGGAAGAGAAGTATTAAGGTTTTTACTCAGGTGTCCCAGCAAGAATTTGGTCTGCCTTGGATCACTTCTCTACTCCAAAATGACTCTTCCTAAGCACCTCACTCCTTATTCCTACCTGAGAAACTCACCCAGGCGCTGTGTGGAAGAGTACAGAGGAGGCACAGATGAGCACTTGCAGAGACAAGGGTCTTTTTGCCTTTTTTTTTTTTTTTTTTTTTAAGCTTCTGCTGAAACTATGCCTAGCAAACTCACCGGGCTGAAGAGGCACTTGCCCTTTTCCTTTTTGATGCTGTCTCAGCTGCACCCAGCAGTTCTCAAGAAGATGGGGCTAGACCGGAGACTGTGACAAATTGTTATTAATGGTGAAGTAACTGTGCTCCGCAGCCTGGGGCAGGGGAGAAGCCCTGGCCCTGGCAGCTCTTCAGTTCAGCTCCACCCTACCTGGAGCTGGAGGTCCACTTCTCTGCAGCAAATGGAGGCTACTGTTGAGTTAGAAGTGCCTTGGCTGTAATCTGGAGCCAGGCAATTGTTCTGGGTGCTGCCTTTTCCTGCCTGCCCCATGCCTTCCTACTCCTTATCTGGAGAACTGGTAGGTTTGAAGTGAAGGGAGAGAATCACCTGTGTTTTCTATGCTCAGAAGAAAACACTTCCAAAGCAATGCACTTACTTAGATGTCTAAGAACTGAAATACAAGGAATATATATATTAATGCTTACCTCTGTCCGTTGTTAGCATGGGAAAAGAGATACTCTTCAGACAGAAGTCTCCTCTTCCATATTATGCAAAGCACCCCCCCCAATTACCACCCCTGCATTCAAGGGGCACAGAAGGGAAGACAAAAGAACAGGAGGCTCACGAATCCTGCCATGGGACAGGACCACATACAGGGCCGTTGACAAGATAGGGTATGCTCACCTAAACTGCAGAAATGTAAATGTCATGAGGATTTCCTTGATCAAAACTTGTGCTTCTAAAGAGCAGAGGTGACCCAGGACTCCTCAGTCTTGCATCCACTCAGGGGCACATCTTTCACAGTCCTGGGGCACTGTATCTCTGAGACCAGCCCATGGGTGAGGCAGTGTTGTGATGGGACTAGGAAACGCGGAATTTTCCACAGCTTGCTCCGTGCCTCAGTTTTACCAGCTTAAAGTGTGCAAGAATGCTTTTGTGGAGATCTCGGGTTCTTTAAGTAACAAACACAGTGTAAAAAGCTAAACACGCATCATGCAAAGGGACAGACGTCACAGCTGATCTGACTATCCAGACGCCGTATTTCAGTTCTTAGGAGGGGCGTCTCTAAAACTGTGTGCCTGAAGTTTCTCTTATTATTTAAAACTCCTTACATCTTCCATTCTTGAAGAATCAAGTTGCAGATAAAAACATCTCAAACTTTGGCAAAAGCAAGGCACTCCAATACCATGGGGTCTAACTAGCCTCAGGCATTTAAATTCATTGCACTATAAAAAAACGCCAGCCTCAGAAAAAGTACTGAAAAAAGTTAAATAAAGCAGCAAATTCTTGTTAACGCACTAAGCTGACTAAGCATCTCTCAGTAGTAAAATATTCCAATATTCTGGACCTATAGTGCCTCTCTCTTTTGGTCTAAGTGTGGCTCTAAAGCATCCTTACATTAGACCTTGTTTTGTCACAGTAGCCTTCCCCTCTGTGCTGTCACCACAGAGGTTCTTCAGGCTCTAAGAGACCTCCTTGTTTCCACAGTGAAAAAGGCTAAAGCATCTCAGCCCCAGGCCCTGTCACCTCAGATCTGCAGGGCTACATCGCTGTCATAAAGGGTGGTCATCTTAACACCCACCCAGACAACATGAATCGACAATCCCAGGTTGCTTCCTTCATGGAGGTGGCAACTCTCAATAGCTAAAGGTTTCAGAGGGAAATACTCTTATTTGAGATTTTTCTGTTTAAAAAGACCTTATGGGCTTTGTATGTCCTCCTAAAACCTAATGTAAAACAAAAATTAAAGTGTCAGACCTACAGAATTCTCAGTTTGCCTCTAGAAACTGGAACAAGTGGGTGTAAGCTTAAAAACAGAAAGCAAGATCTGTTTCTGGACTTCATCTCTCTGCTCCTTACTCTCTGCTATTTTCAACTATTTAATATTTCAAAACCAAAATAAAACCCAAACAAGGCCACACATTACACAGTCAATCTCCTTCATGTGCAGAAGAATTAATGACTATGAAAGAGGAAATATTCGAAAATCCAAGAAAAACACCTAGAGTTTTCCCATTTCCAAAAATAAAAATGAAATTTCATTCGCAATCAAGTTTTTTAGTTTAGGATTTTGATTACAAAATCCTAAACTAAAATAGAAACTTTCCCATGCTTCCCAAGGCAAACATTTTCAAAAGGAAACCAATTCCTATGTGGTACACCTGATGATAGGGGACAAGAGAACATGAAGACTGCA